GGTATAAGAAATTAAACCTTGAATTAAGCAAAGGAAAGTGAATAGAGAAGACCCAGTTCCAACTTGGGGAATAAGAACTCCTTTCTTCAAGTCTCCACAAAACCCTCTCCAAACTTGAAAGAAAAATATTAGCTAGAATATGTTCTAAAGTAAATAATAATAATAATATGTTCCACTCCTTTCCTCTTTTCCAAAATCTAATTCTAAAAAGTATTTATAGTTTTCACAGATTCTGCTGCGGAGGATTGTTCGGCGATATTAGTCGAGATCGCCGATGAACTCGGCGATCCGCCTTTTGGTCAGCTCATCGCCTTCAGTGTCTTGCCTTTAGCATCCTTGCATTCTGGATCATTGGGCGGTACAGTACTGCTTCGCGGAACTGATCAGCGACCCGCCGACTGCTCCTTTCCTCGCCTTTTGATCCACTTCCTTCAAGGCTTCGCGTACTGGAACGAAGGGCGGCTCATGTCGTTTCGGCGACTCGCCAAGTTAAACTCGGTGATCTACATAATTCCATTTCTTGTTCTTTTCAGCAATATTTGCTCTGTTTTGCGTCTAAGTGTCCATGTTTCCACTAAAACTTCAAACACATGAAACTTCAGCATTTTAATCAGGTATGGAGATAAAACAAGCATTCAAGGATACTATTTCCATTAAAATAAAGCCCTAAATGAGTCCAATTTATGGACTCATCACTAGACCTGCACAATCTCAATGCAGTGTGGCACAATGAGGCAATTTGATTCCTGTATGTGCTAAGTGGTAGGAACCACCCAAGAGCGTTTCGTGATGGCTCCACTGGTTTCTTGAAGTGTGGTCAAGCAGGTCACTTCATGAGAAAGTGCCCTAAGAACAGGCAGGGTAGTCGTAATGGGGGCAATAAAGCTCAATTTTCTTCAGTGGCTTCGTCAGACAGAGATGCACGTAGAGGATCTAATTTAGGGACAGGTGGATGAGCAAACTGTCAGTGTGCTATCACTAGTCTCCAAGAGAAAGAGAATTCACCTGATGTTGTCATTGGTATGATCAAAGTCTTCACTTTTAATGTATATGCATTGCTAGATCCTGGTGCGAGTCTATCTTTTATGACACCATATATTGCTATGAGGTTTGATATCCTTCCCGAACAACTTCTCGAGCCTTTCAGTATTTCCATACCTGTTGGTGAATCTATTCTAGCTGAGAGAGTTTATCATGATTGTACCATTTTTTTCAATCACAAGGATACCATGGTTGACTTAGTTGAGTTAGATATGGTGGACTTTGATGTTATTCTAGGTATGGATTGGCTTCATACTTCTTATGCCTCAGTTGATTGTAGAACTCGAGTAGTTAAGTTCCATTTCCTAATGAGCCAGTTATAGAGTGGAAGAGTAGTTCAATAGTCCCTAAGGTTCATTTTATTTCGTACCTTAAGGCCAGAAAGTTAGTTTCCAAGGGTGCATCTATCACTTAGTCTAAGTTAATGATTCAAGTGTAAGACGCCACCTATTCTGTCAGTTGCAGTTGTGAGTGAGTTTCCAGATAATCTTCCCAGAGTCCATCCTGAGAGAGAAATAGACTTCGATATATATACTTTTCCTCATACTCGACCAATTTTTATTCTGCCATATAAACATTTTATTCGACCAAGTGTCTCACTTTGGGGCACTTAGGTCTTATTTGTGAGGAAGAAAAAATGGTTCTCTTAGGATGTGTATTGATTACCGCTAATTGAAAAAGGTTACTATAAAGAATAAGTATCCTCTTTCGAGAATTGATGATCTTTTCGATCAACTTCAGGGTGCCACCTATTTTTCTAAGATAGACCTCAGTTCTGGCTATCATTAGTTGAAAGTAAGAAATAGTGATATTCCAAATACTCCATTCAGGACCCGCTATGGTCTTTATGAGTTTCTAGTTGTCTTTTGGTTTGACTAATTCTCCTACAATGTTTATGGATCTTATGAACATAGTGTTTAAGCCTTATCTTGATATATTTTTTATCGTATTCATTGATGATATTCTAATTTATTCGAGGAATGAGGAAGATCATGCTAGTCATCTCAGAATAGTTCTTCAAACTCTCAACGATAGAGAGTTGTATGCCAAAATTTTCAAATGTGAGTTTTGGCTTGAGTCAGTGGTGTTCTTAAGCTACATTATTTCTAGTGAAGGGATTCGAGTTGAAACTCACAAGATTGAGGCAGTATAGAGATGTCCTAGACTCACATGTCCAACTAATATTAGGGGTTTCTTGGGATTGGTTAGTTATTATAAAAGGTTCGGCGAGGGGTTCTAATCTATTTCATCCCCATTGATAAAATTAACTCAGAAGACAACAAAGTTTCAATGGTCTGAAGCTTGTAAGAAAAGCTTTCAGGAATTGAAAATACGATTGACTACTGCGCAAGTGTTGACCTTACTAGAGGGTACACATATCTTTGTTATGTATTGTGATGCGTCCAGAGTTGGAATGGGTTGTGTATTGATGCAAAATGGAAAAGTTATAGCTTATGCCTCCGAACAACATAAGATGTAAGAGAAGAATTACCCAATCCATGATCTAGAGTTGGCTGCTGTAGTGTTTGCTTTTTGGTCAGCTCATCGCCTTCAGTGTCTTGCCTTTAGCATCCTCGCATTCTGGATCATTGGGCAGTACAGTGCTGCTTCGCGGAACTAATTGGCGACTCGCCGACTATTTCTTTCCTCGCCTTTTGATCCACTTCCTTCAAGGCTTCGCGTACTGGAACGAAGGGCGGCTCATGTCGTTTCGGCGACTCGCCAAGTTAAACTCGGTGATCTACATAATTCCATTTCTTGTTCTTTTCAGCAATATTTGCTCTGTTTTGCGTCTAAGTGTCCATGTTTCCACTAAAACTTCAAACACATGAAACTTCAGCATTTTAATCAGGTATTGAGGTAAAACAAGCATTCAAGGACACTATTTCCATTAAAATAAAGCCCTAAGTGAGTCCAATTTGTGGACTCATCAACACCCCCAACTTAAACTTTTGCTTGTCCTCAAGCAAACTCAAGTTCAGCCGTTCAAAAAGGGTGCCTCAAACAAGACTAAATCATGAATGCACACAACAAGACTCAATTCACTTATGCAAGGATCAATTGTGTACTCAAAGATTCAAATTCTGATACACCATCACCAAAGATTCTCATGCTCGCAATACTTGCTACTTATGCAAGTTCAAGCTCAACAAAAGTATCTAAATACCCTCGCACAAAGAATGATTCCATATTCACACACATATATGAATCAATTTAAGATCAGGAATCAGATACAATGCTCACACTCAAAAAATAGGAACACAAAGCATGCTTTCACCCATAGGTTAACCCTTATTTTCCAATTGACTTTCAATTTGGCTTACTCAAGATAAAAAAGGTCTTTCTAGGCTTGTAATGGCGCTGAGTACAAAGGTATTGTCACGACCCG